CCTGCCTCAGCCTCCCAGAGTGCTAGGATTACAAGCATGAGCCACCGCACCCAACCAGGTTTGTTGTTTTAGACACAGTATTGTTTTGTCACCCAGGCTGGAGTACAGTGACACGATCATAGCTCACTGCAACCTTGAATTCCTAGGCTCAAGCAAGCCTCCCACCTCAGCCTCCTGAGTAACTGGGACTACAGGCGTACACCACAGCGCCTGGGTAATTTTTCTTATTTTTTGTAGAGATGTGGTCTTGGTCTGTTGCCCAGGCTGGTCTTGAACTCCTGGGCTCAAACGATCCTTCTGGCTTGGCCTTCCAAAGGGCTGGGATTACCGGCATGAGCCACTGCAACTGTCCCGATTATTGTTTTGAATAAAAGCCCACGGACTCAGAACTTGAAAATGAGACTTACCTTTATAAAAACTACATTGCAGTAGGGAAGGAAGGGAGTACTCACCAGCCAGAAGCTAGCACCATGACATTCCACTTCCTTACATCAAAACTCTTTATATACAAGCACAGTCTAAGACCCCTTTCAGCAACTGCCTTGTGGTCTTCAAGGGAGGAGGGGCTCTTTCACACTAGCATAGGAAAAATGAAATCTTTTAACATCTGCGGGGGAAGGAATGTGAACCTTGTGGTCAAAGGTTGGCAAACTATAAAAAGGCTCCTTGAGAAAGGGGACCAATAACATACCTTTGAAAGAGATCATAGTATAAATATTTGTCTAGCAAAATATTAATATCTATGAAGGAGTCCTGATATTGGTTCAAGGCATTAAAACATTGAAAATTTCTTTATTGGTTGAAGTGTTAATTTTTAGAATATTCATTACTTTCTTTTAGAGGTATCCCTTTCTAATTGGCATTACAGATTTATAGATTGTGTTCATAAGAGTGCAAACATCACCTTGAGCTATGATTATGAAGTTAAGAGCCTTTTGATTCTGCCAAACAGAAATGAGGTAAAATTTCAATTTGTAGAGATCCAGGGTGCCACTTTTTGTATTAAAGCCCTACTCTGGAATTCCAGAGACATTTATAATGGCCCTTTCTACAAGCTTTTGCCAGGCAGCATAGGGATATTTCAAAGGAATATTGTTCCT